TGAAAATAATTCTTTCTTTCTGTTTTTAAAGATCGTTGCCTAAACTTTCCCTTTGTGGATACAAAGAGGAAAGCTTATACTGCTGAAGAACAGTCAGAGACAGGGACAGGTCAACATACCTTTTGTAGCCAGACGAACACAGTTGATTTTGGTCTCCTGGGAACAACAACAAAAAATGAGACACCAATTAGTTAGTTGTTGATTATATAAGGATTATTATATAAGAAAAATATGCCTAGGTATTTGTGTATATATATTTACATATGTAATTATAATTTAAAATTTGTCCTTTCCATTTGCTTCTCTATTGGGACCACCTTTTAATTTCAGTACTTTATTTCCTCTCAGGCTTAGAACATATGTTGTTCTGTTTGTTTCATGACACCTATTACTTCATCAACCTTTTCACCAGACAGAAGTACTTTATAGTCATTTCAGCATCCAAAAGTTTAGCAATGCTCAGTGGTTATGTGATGGTATGTAGGGTGCTTTGTTCTTAGGTATGGGTTAGCCTTCCTCGTGAAACAATGCATCTATCTATCTGGACAGATTAAATGAACATTTGGTAATAGTCCTATCTCTGTAAAACATGTAAGAATCAAACCTTCAAGTTCATGTTCAAAAAGTTGCTTTGGCCTGAAGATATGCAGAGGGTCTCACAGTCTTTATGAATACGCTGTGTGTTTGGAGGCGGGGGTCAGAGTCTTTGCTGAGTGAACTAACTAGCTATTGTTGGCTGTTTCCCCAAATGAACAGGTTCCATAAATCTATGATATTGCTGTGGAATTGCAGAAAAGTGCTCAGGAGGAGAATCTTCTTAGCCTACTTTATTGGGATTCATTTCCCAGGAGGTCTGGAGCCAGTGGAAATTCCAGTTGACTAAATTACAGTCTGAAGACAATGTAGCAATGAAAGTAAAAGCAAGGGATGCAAAGGCATGAGGCACCGAGCTAAAAGTCTTTCAAAGACCCAGGGATTATCATAGCACGACTCACAAGAATTTGTCTTGAAATCAGTTGTGTTCATCATGTTAGAAAGGTTACATTGCAGTGCTAAAACCCATGAACTTCGGTACCTAGGGACAGCAAAGGCTTTTTCTCTACTCAAACTACAAGTTCCATATAGGTGTGTGGCTGGGTCTGATAGATGGGCATAGAGTGGTACATTATTTGCTTAATTATTCATAGATCAAGGCTAGTACATCCATTTTAACCAAAGGAGAATGAATACTGCAGAGGTTAGCTGTGGAAATCAGATGCTTTGAATCAGAAGTGATACTTTCACTTCTACTGGTTTTGTTGGCTAGAATCAGTCACATGGCCAGTTTCAGAGAAGAGAGAGGAAGTAGTCTTCCACCTTCGATACCCAGAGGTAGAGAAGAAATGTCAATGCTGCTAGCAGAGTCTATTCTGTCTAAGAATATCCCTGAATACTAGAACTTGTCTCCTCTATCAACCAAGTATGATTCCTTACGATCATCTCCAGTCACTTTGCTACTCATTCCTGACTACACCAAAAGTTTGCTTTGCTTACATGGGAAAAGTTTTGGGATACCGAAAGGTGGTTCTCAGAATCACAAACATTCAAGTCTTTTGAACACCTTTGCTACTCATTCTGGGACATATTCTTTGTGTTCCTTAATATGCAGTGACAAGAGCAAGAAGCTGCAGCTTCTTTCAGGTCTTGCCCATAAATGATTTTCTAGATTATCAGTTTTCCTTATTTATGCTGAGCTTCCAATAACATGGACAACCTCCTAGCCCTAGTATGGACTGATATTTACCACTATAGTTTCATCTTTTTTTATTTGAATCCTATAACCTTAAACACTTTGGAAAGGGTTTTTAATTTCATCCAAATAATTATTCTAAGTTGTAACCTGGAGTGTGCCAACGGTCGATCCCTGGGGCACACAGTGCAATCTTTCATCCAGGCTGACTTTCATTTGTACATCAGAATCTTTGAACTAACTAGTTATCAATCCTCCTGATGGCTAAGTATTCAGATCTCAATGACTCAATAGCTTATGCCCTGTACTTTTGCATGATAGATGTTTGACATGATGGTCATTTTCATTTCAGATGCAGATATTCTGTCTACAGCAATTGCCTATCAGCTTAAGAACACTCTTAAATTAAGAAGGTTGGGTTGGCATGACTTGTTCTTTAGAACAAATGTTTCTTTTTCTTTCTTTTTTCATGATGAAAATGTCCATTTTAAAACAATTATTGCCTGTTTTTTAGAATAAAACATTCATAAATGTGAAACAGTTTAACAAATTCTGGTTCAAATATACAAAGTATTTACTCTGGAACTATATATGAAATTTGAATCCTACCATATTTCAAAGATGTTTTTTATTCTTTTAAAAAAAGAACACACCCAGAAGATAAAAGGAAAATGTCCCAAAAGACATGTTAAAAAAGAAAACTGATATCCAAAATCTGAAGCCACAAATAAGTTAAAACCTGGACACAAATAGCAAACGTAAAAAAACTGATATTTTGCTTTTCATATTGTGAGGGAGAGAAAGGAAAGTTCTTAAACTTCAGCTAGTCTGCATTTCTGTGCTAGTTTAAACAGCCTCAGATGGTTTTAGAAAGTGTAAGCTTCAGAGAACTGAAGACCTCAAAATGGTGGTGTCCTAGTGACCATCCCTAGGAAACGGTGAAGAGTGGGAGAGGTGTAAGATATGAGTCAGAGGGTAGCCAACTTCATAGTGGTACAAAGAGAAAAGATTCTGAAAATGTCATGTTACAAAACTTGCCAGTTTTATTCACGGTGATTAAATAGAACAGTGGGTTAGGGTTGGGCAAAGCCAAGACTGCTGGGAGTAATTCACAAATACAGTCATCCTTTGGTACCCAAGGTAGATGGTTCCAGGACCCCTACGGATACCCAAGTTCATCGGTGCTCAAGTAAATCAGGTCTCCAAATCCATGGATTCTGCATCCTTGAACACAGAGGATAGACTGACTGTATGATTATTAACTTCAAAGAGATTCAACTTAATCTTGCTATATCTAAAAATCTGTTCTCAATAACCTTGAATGTAGAAAAAGCATGAAACATGTTGGATCCAATGTTCTTCACAAAAATGAAACCCAAGAGGTATTTGTGTAACCGTACTGGCATGGTAGTGAATCTGGTGACCAATCTACTCAGCAGAATATTACGGAAGAATTAAAACTAAAGTGACTGTGAGGGCCGCGTAAGTACACAGAGCTGTGGACATAAGAAAATATCAAATGAATAAACAAAGCACTATTGTTATTCTGACATGTCAATCTAAACATAAAGAGAGGTCTTGACACACAAAGATACAAATATACACAAATATAATTTGACAAATGTTTTGTAAATTCTTTACTGATTTTTTGTGTATTTCATACAGAACATCTTAATCATCTTTATCCCCCTCCCACTGGCCCCTTCCCATAGCCTACCCCCACTGTATTTCATGTATTCTTTCATTTGCACTAAGGCCTATTGAGTCAATTTACTGCCCCCAGACATCCTTTAGTCTAAGTTCATCCCCTGAGGTCTAGAATTTGACAAAACTTTCACCAAGTACCTACACACTAATGATCAGCACCCAAATCTAAATACCCAGTGTCACCAACATCTCAGATGTCTCTTCCAGGCTCTTTCTGGACACTTCCCTTCCTGCAAAGGGAAACATTATCCTGCCTTGGGTAGGAAAGTTGTCTTCAACATGAATCACACTGGTGGGAATCTTTTGTAGTTACCATGGTTTCTTCCTTCTCTTGCTCACCATGTCATTTTAAAGAACTTTCTAACTCTCCTTAGAGTCATTTGCCCTCCACCATTTCAAGGCACGAAAACACACTGTTTCCTAACAGCACACCTCCCACTCCACACTGTGCAAAGTCTGTTTTCTGTAATGTAGAGTGCATGTCTGATTAGGCTTAAGTCTTCCTGACTTTCACAAACATGACACTGACATGTTCACTTTCTCCTAAGTTCCTGACAGCTTTAATTCCATAAGCAATTTGTCTTTGTTGGTTAGAATTAGGTACAGAATTACAAAGCCTTGAGTCACTCCCTTGACCTTCTGGGTGATTGAATTGTCAGCAAGCAAATCAGAGGCATGCTGGACAATGTAAATTCTATTACATGGGAGGTCTGGCCAGTGTGCATATGTCTAGAGTCCCAATCAGATTAATAAGCAGGAAATGAATACTTTCTTTGTACTCAGATTCTGTAAGAATTTAGGACAAGGGAACCATGAAGTATTTTCTGTTATACGGCTACTACATATACTTGTAGGTGTGTATTGTGTGTTGGGACAGCATGATACAACTATTTGCTTATCCTTTAAACTTCCTAATTGAAAATCTTGTATTGGGTTACTCAACTCTCTTTTTTTTCCTCTTAGAATTTCTTTTTGAATTTTTGTGAATTTCATACATCTTGATCATATTTAGACACCCTCCACTATGCACAACCATCCCCCTCAACCCTCTACCCACCAGATTTCATGTATTCTGTCATATATGTTAAAGCTTATTGAGCCATTTTTGTGTCCCTAAATGTCCCTCAGTGTGAGTTCATCCACTGGAGCCTAGTCAACCTATTTAGAGTCACTTCCTTATGACAACCATCTCCCTCTGTGAGTAGTCAGTCATTGGTTACCAATAGTTCCTCAGCTAAGCTTGGGGATTCTTACCTATTTCCCCACTTCTATGCTGGAGTTTTGTCTGGTTTGAGCTTCACATAAATAAATGTCATCTTGGGGTAGACCAAGCATCCTTCCTTACTTCTGTGCTTGTGTTGAGACCTCCCCTTCATCCAGGCTCTGATAGTTCTGTTCAACATTGAACAAGTCACCATCCCCCTCTGGGGCACAATTCCCATAATCAGTTGATGGAAATGACTGTTTTGTGAGAAGCTGGATCATCCTAAGGATCTTAAACATTGATTCTGGTCTCAGCAACTGGCAGTATTCCTACTTTTCAGTACTCTATCTTCTTGATACCAAGCCATAGTACCTTCCCTTACGCATATAATTCTTTTATTTACTATTTTTATTGAACTTTTCTGCATTTCATATATCTTAATTATATTTAGACCCCCTCCCCTATCCACACCCCTCATTGTCCCCCTATCTCCACTGGATTTCACGTATTATGTCA